TACCACATTTTTTCGGTATTAATCAAAACTACCATCTCTCTCTCTCTCTCTCTCTTCATGGGCTCTTCATGGGCTTGAGCCTTGAGCGAGAAATCCATGATATATGAAATATGAAATAATGTTCATAATGGGCCCAAGGAGAGACCATAAAGATAAGCCCATATTTAAGAGTCCACTGACGATATATATACACACACAGACGCAAGGTACCATGCCAGGCGCAGGCAAAAATTACTATTTGGCCCCTCAACTTTTTAAATTTGGGCCTGAATTTTCTTCAGCTATAAAGTTATAACTTTAAGCCTCTCAAGCTCAATGTTGATAACTTTATCACCAATTTAACGGTAAAATATTACGTACATGTTACTCTCCCTCCAAAATTGCCGTATCACTTCACATGTCATCAATTTTAATTCACATAAGCACACCACCTTGTTGCATTAAAGACTTATTTATTATGTTAAAATTATCAATTTACCCTTAATTTATTTCCAAAATGTCAAATCTTACCCTTCCTCCTTCAATGGATACCAACCTCAAAATTCATCACCACATGGTCCACATTCATCACTTGTGCACATCTTTCTCTCTCCTCCTTCTCCCCCTCCTCCTTTCTCTCTCTCTCTCCTCTCTTTCTTCTTCTCCTTTCTCTTTCATCCACCCTTCAAGAATTACTTGGGTTCCCCAAGGGAATTCGCCTAGGTTTTCTAAGGGAATTCACCTGGGTTCTCCTTCAAGAACCCAAGGAACCCACCAGGGTTTTTAGGTTTCAAGAACCCAAGTTGGGTTCCCCAAGCTTCCCTAAGGGAACACGCCTAGGTTCATAATAAGTATTGGATTCTCTATTCTATTTCCCTTCTTATTTCCTTCAATTTCTAGATCATATCAGTTCACTTGGGTTCATGATGAGTTTGCTGAATTACCATGATAATTTGAGGATGCTGTGTGAGAGATTTTTGGTAGTGGGTTAAGGGAAGAAGAAAGAAACTCTTGGTGAAATTGAACGGAAGATCAAGGAGATGAGGGTAATTCTTGCAATTTCATGGGTTAATATTTTAAGTTTTAAGTTTTATTTATTCACAATTCAACATGGCAGCTAAGTTGGAAAAAATTACTAACATGTGTGACATGTCAATTTTGGACGGATGGGTAACAAATACATGAGAGGCATGTGGCATTTTATTGTTAAATTAGTGTTAAAATTACCAACTCATGAGGTTGAAAGGCTTAAAGTTACAACTTTACAATTGAAAGAAATCAAAGCTCAAATTTAATAAGTTGAGGGGCCAAATAACGATTTTTGCTACCACGCGCACTCGTGGATCATAATTTTAGTTATTATTGTGCAGAGTAGTGTTCCATTGGTTATTATTTAAAGGATTTGAATTCTGAACTATTAAATATAATTCACCATGAATGATTAAAAGAGATATGGATATGCAATTTGTGGTATTGCTTATGACCTTTGGCAGTAATGTTAAAATGTGTTTGCTCTCTTAGTAGTAAAGGCACTCTAATCATCAATCATGTAGTTTGGTGATAAAGTTACTTGTATTTTTAACAATAATTAACAAATTAAAGTTTTCAATCCCTAATTTATATATATATATATGTATGTATATGGGAAAGTGGACGTCAGTCCTACCTCCCAAAAAAAATTGGAGTCCCAAATCAAACAACATTGTTTTCCTTTCAAAAACCCAGCCCTGTTGTTTGTTTTTTCTCTCAAAAATTCAACCCTTGCTCCTCTCCTCCTTTGATTCCTTCAAATATTCACTCAAAAAATCCACTAGTAATGTCACCCCCTTTGCAATCATCTCCATCTCTCCCTTTCCCCCTTTTCCCTCATGTAAGGTTGAGGCAATTAGAAGCCAAGAGACATAACCACGCCTCCTAATGAGCTCGAAGTGCCATAGAACAAAAGAAATTGAGATTTGTGTTCCTTTGTCACATGAGCTTGAGGGAGTTTTGAACCAATTTATTTGAGTTTTGAACCAATTTATTTGGGTTTTGCACATTTGGTTGCTATGATTTTGGTTGTAATAGTGTTGAAATTGAATGATAAGAATTGAAATTGCAATTTTAGTTATAATAGAGGAAACTTATATCTGGGTTTATTGTCTTCAAAGATGTTGTAGCATTTATTTTCTTTTCTAGGTTTGTTTTTGTATGGTCTAGCCATGGTTGCTTTCTTCATTTCCTCTCATTTCCATATAGATTTTGGAAACCCAAATCTGGGTTTGTTAATTTATTTTAAATTGTGATTGTTTTCTCTCATTTTCATACAGATTTTGGTTATACTTTTATTATTTTCTTATTCTCTTATCAATATTATTCCAATTAGAAGATTGGGTTTTCATTTTCATTTTTTGTTACCTTCTTGGCTGCAAGAGATTGTGGGGTTTATTTTATTTTGCAAGGGTGGAGTCAAGGAGGTGAGGAGGTGATGGAGATGATTGCAGAAGGGGCAAATAAGGAGATGGAGATGATTATCGGAGGAGGCAAGGAGCAGGGGTTGGATTTTTGAGAGAAAAGACGAACAGGAGGGCTGGGTTTTTGAGAGGAAAATGAGGTGGTTTGGTTGGGGCTTCAATTTTCTTTTGGGAGGTAGGACTGACGGCCAATTTCCCCATATATATAAACATAAAACCAGATTAATATTAGATGTTTGTATGTAGAAGCCGGACTTGCAAATAAATTAAGTAAAAAAACACTTAAAATTACATTGTTTTAATAAAATAATCCCATCCCAAGTTTAAAATCTAGAACATTTTATTTTTTTTAATGGAATTTTATTAAAATTACATAATTTTAAATTTTTTTTTACCTAATTTTTTATAGATACAATTGATAAATTTTTTTCCCTTGAAATTATTACTCATAAAGCGATACTTTAGGAGCAACCGAGGCAGTTTAGAATGATAAACGCAGTCCAAACTACATAATGTAGTTAGTGCATTTAAATTTACTTAATTATTTAAACTTAAAGTAATTATTAGATTTAAGGGCTTAGACTTTAAAAGATGTTAAATTTAAGTATTTTAAAAGTATTTGATAGTCTCAATTTCTTTAAGGAGTAGGCCATGAAGGGTTACTTGAATTTTCAATTTTAATTTAAAAACTGCAAGTGGGAAATCTCATATTGAAGAATGGTTCTCATATTTATTTGGTGAATGTTAATTTTACTTCATTAACTTTAGAGTTTTGTATAATTTTTTTATGTTTTTTTAATCCCTTAATTATAAAAAATCATTTTCAAAACTTTTATATTAATTAATCTATTAAATATATTTAAACAGAATTAACAAGTTAATTAACAGGATAACTAAATATATATATAAATATTAAAATATAAAAATGATATAAAACCTTAAAGTTAAAAACCCAAATTAGCATTTACCCCATTCATTCCGAGCTTCTCTCTATTGCCTTGAGTTGACAGACCATTTTCTGGGGGAAATTGGACTTGGACTTTGAATCCTGCCAAATGAAATTGTAAAGAAAGACTGAACGAGTAAGAAATACCGTATGAGCATGAACAATGATAATAGGGACGAAATTATATATTCAGAATTAATGAGATCACATAAGTTACTCATTAATATTTTATAAAACGGTTTTTTTAATGTGCAAGGTGCATAACTTGTTATAATAAATTTTTATAAAAAATTGTTAAAATAAGTATTATTTTTAACACTAATATGTTAAAATAAGTATCATTTTTAACACTAATATTATTAAGATAATTTTAATTAGATACTTGATAAATTAAAAATAAATTTTTACTTCATTTGTTTTATTTAATTATCCGTTTTAAATCTTTTCGAACATATTAAGAAACCTATTTAAGAGTCTTTATTCTTGGAATATTTAGTATTAACTATTAAGTTTACTCATTTACACTTTTGTTGTTTTCTGAAAATAGAGTCTCTTCGTTACTACCAAAATTTATTAGAGAGTAAATTTGAAAAATTAAAAATTAAAAATACTTTAAAATGTAATAACGTCAAATAATGTTAAACAAATTCAACTTTCTAAAATGACTAATAAAATGAAACAGAGGGAATAAGAATTTATCTTAAATTTATTAATTATTCAATGAAAATTATTTAAGTAATATTTGCGTTAAAAATAATAGCTGTTTCTTATTTTTACATTTTTTATAAAAATTTATTACAAAAGAGTTCAATTAATGTACAGTTAACATGCCCTCTATAATACATATCAGACAATTTTTTTAAAATGTTAAAATATAAATTTTATATTATTTAATATAATATTTAATTATTTTACTTTATTTAAATTTAAAATATTATATATATTAATTTATTTAATGACATAAATTATGGTACGCCACGCATCTTGATGAGTTGCATTCTCATCACCAAATTTTGTCCTCTATATCTCGTGTATGGTATATACTGTAATTATTTTACTCCCAAAATTTTCAATTGGATAATATTTATTTATATCTAATCAACCACCACTAATAAAGAGCCAGAGTTACCTATTTATTGCAACTATGGCATTGGGCATATCACTAAATGGGATATGCTTAAAATGATTAACTATTAGTCATACATAGAATGAAAATTAAGGACAAAATTTTGAAATTAATGATATGTTATAAGTCATATCATTAAATCAATCTATCTATCTATATATATATATAAAATGCTACCCTATGCATTAAATAGGGTAAGCATTTTATATATATACATGCTTAGCTCAATTCAAATTCTTTCTTTTCATCAGTTATCACATAATTAATTTTAGTTAATTAATAATAGGAATAAACATCGTAATGGTCTTCCTTTCCATCAGTTATCACATAATTAATTTTAATTAATTAATAATAAGAATAAACATCGATACACTTGTGAAATATAGAGTAACGGATACACTTCCCCATCATATACCATCATTGACATCACATACCATAAAGGCATGACCCTCCCTTCTCTCCTATAAATTCCCCCCTGTCTCCGATTTCTTTCTTCATACAATTCTCTGTTCTCTACTAATTGCCTTAGCTCAATTCAATATTCAAGAAAAAAAAAAAGGTTTCAGTAAATGGGTGAGGTGAGTTTGCCGCATTTTTCATCTCGTCTTATCTTCCTCTATGAATCTTGAAATTTCCTTGGATTTGGACTTAATTGTTTTATTCAGTATTCGACAAAAAAGGAGAAAGCTAAGCCCACCTATGCCGGCAATGGAGATAAAAAAAAAGCTGACAAGAAGAAGAAACCTGAGGAGAAAAATGAAGGGAAGAAAGCAGCAGGTGAAAAGAAGGAAAAACATGGTGGAAAGAGAGGAAAGAGGGGAATTTTTGTGGGATTTGTGGGAGTTAAGCTTTAGCTCCAAATT